ATATTTACAATTTGCGTTTACATGCGGTACATATACCCACAAAAAATATGAAGTACAGAAACTGCTATATAATTCAGAGTTTTACAGGTTATTTCCGTAAATATTTCGGGTAAGGTTACATATGTACATATATTTTGATGTGTTTTTTAATATATAAATATATTGCAAAATATATTAAACTTTAATTGATAAAATCTCTTTATAAGATTTTTAATTCTTTTTCCTTATTTTCTATCGTAAATAATGATTATGTCGCCGATCAAATTCCATGGGGATTCTAGTACTATCCTAACAATACTTTAAAAAATAAAACTATTGAAATTGGAGTATAACCACAGCTTTAAGTATGGCAATGATTTGTCGGTCGTAGTAAATCACAATCGTCACCACATTGTCGGGAAAAAGGACAAAAACTAAAATTAACGTTGTCCTTACAAGATAGTGGCGTCAACGAAACCTTGAAGGAAGAAGCTAGAGCATATAAATCTTTTCTGTTTCGGAAAGATGGAACGTGGGACGGGACAATTGACTTTCTTGTTCGCTTGCCTGCAGATCACATTCGTAATTACCGTATCAAGACCTTCGAAAAGCCCGTATTTTTTTAAACCATCGAATGGGATACCTTATAATACAAAAAAATTTTTTGCAAAATCATCCTAATTTCCGTGAAAAGACGACCGACCATAATTTCCGGAAAAAAACAATGAATGAAAGCGATTATGAAAATGTTTTGTGAGAATGTTCGAAAGAATATCTAACAAAAGATACAAACGGTTCTAAAAAGAAACGGTCCTAAAGGAATTTCAGGAATATTCCTATTCTTCACAATATGTGTATTTTTTATTATACAATGTACTTATGCATTCTCCATGTTTGTTTCTTTTATCGAGAAAAAATATTTACCGCACAAGATTATTGATATATATATACTACCATTAAATATTATATACAAGTTGGAAAACTTATAATTTTTTCCTAAAAAGATGCAATGGGTAACTCAATACAAAAATTTAATTTACAGCATACATAATGTGTGAATGTCAATTCTAAACTCAAAACTAAAAGATTTTGATGGCGATTTTGAGGGCGATTCCCCTCTTCCTTTCACGCTGTGAAGAACGTCAATGCTTTCAAGAGTGAAAAGCTCTGAAACTTAATAACGCTATCTCCTGTAGTAATATACCATAATGTAGCGTTTACAATATAACGCAAAGAAGTGGAAGAAGGGCGAAGGAAAGCAGAAAGTACGTCTCCCCGCGCGACAAAGTCGTAAACTTCCCAATCACGCTTTTGACCCAAGAATGTCCCACCGGTGGCTGGATGGACTATAAATTCTGCTTTTTGAGAATTTGTCAGATGTACTGTGTCGGTCGATCCCCGCCAAAGTCCTCCTCCGTAGAAAAGTTGAAATCCGAGGCTCCTCAATAGCGACTTCCACCATCACCTGTCGTTTAGAGAAATATGTCTGCGCCGCAGCTTAATCCGCATGACGGCGCAAATCGAAGAGTAAGGGGAAGCGAGGCGACCACAATAAAAATTTGTCACTGCCACATTTGACGCGAAAACTGCCTTTCAAAGCTCTCGCTTTCCTTCCTCGATGAAACGAATCGGCCTGAATTTTCCGCTTTGTTAGTCAACGATCTTTTAGGCTCATTCGACAAATAGTGCGCGAATGATACCCTTAGGTCGTTATTGTCCTCGAAATAAACTATCAAAATTTGCAGGATGTTAATTCTACGTTCAGAATAATTTTGCGTCCGAAACAATGCGGCGCCATTATAATAATAAATAAAGATGCCGAAATACTCTCCTTTCTGAATAATTAGTACTTTTTACGAAGCGAGATACAAAAGTAGTATTTTGTATAACAAAGATTCTGCAGAACACGAAACAAAAAGTGTCCGGAAGAAAGCAGTTGCGGTAAAATACGAGCAATAGATAAAATCTGTATCTCGATCAGTAAGACGAGGAAGGCGACTGACGAGGAAAGATGAGGGTCTTACAAGTTCTGCCTCTTACAGGATAGAACTAAATCCTGGAAAATGGACATAATCGCACGGAAAATCGCACGACCCGAGATAATCTTTCGTGTCCCCAAAAGCCGATAAACAATCAGCGTTCGTAAGAAGTACAGAACTCGTACACTCGTGACAGACGAAATGCGATAATGCGATAGTTGTTCTTTCGTGAAAAAAAATAAAATGAGACAAGAATGCATAACAAATGCTCACCGAATCCTAGGAAAATATTTTCATGCTATCTATGGCGGATGAACCAAAATCATTCAAAAATGTTGAGGCCACGAACATTGAATGTAGAATGACTGACAAAACAAAAAGGTATTTCGCGGAATAGAAAGAGATATGCAAATAGACAATAAAAAATATAATCTTTTAAAATAAATAGAAAAAAATAAAAAGAATTCTTATATCTTGCATATTAAACATATTTAGAGACGTTGTTATAAATTGAGTTTTCCGTAAAAATAATATAACAGTAGTAGTAGTGGTTTCTTCAATTATGGAAATATTTCTAAAGAAATTATCCCTAAAAGAAAAATATAATGTAAAATTCCAAAAAGAGCGTAAAAAAATAGCTCAAGAAAAATTGACATGATGCAATTAACAAAGTTTGAAACTTCAAATTATTATTTCGCATTAGACCGTTAAGGGCAATGGACGGTTGCCTAGAACACAATAATACGTTGCGCGAAGCAAGAACCAACTCGATAATCAATCATTTCTAATTGTTATTGACGGAAAACCAAGAGACTGATTAATCACCGCGTAAATCACATGTTATTCTCGAGTTCTGTACGCAGGAGCTATGTGTGCTAAGATAATATTTGTGTGCACGTTCGAACGAAGCGAAACGGAGCGGAGCTGAGCCGCGCTGGTCCAGGTGTGAGAAAAGCGCGGCGCACAATGAAACGTCACTCTCGCGTCTATTGAAGGAGCCTTCGCGATCCGTGTGCCCCACCCCTAAACTACGACCGCCTAGATGAATGGATCATTCGGGCCCCCTTTTTCTATTTTACCGTCGAGCACAAGCGCGAGGGATGCAACCCAGCTTTCTCGTACCTTCGCTCTTAGCGTCACGTATATTTCACCCTACAATCACAGCCGCCGCGGACAAATACCCTTATTTGTACACATCCTGTGCATTGTGACGTAGCGCGCGGCACCCGTAGACCCCGACTTCCGGCGGGAGACGCCGCAGTACAATCTGTTCATCCGCCTCGTTTTCCCTCCCACTCCCATATCTTTTATTTTTTTTCCCCGATTGCGAGGATGAGTGGAACAGTTCATGTACCTGCTGAATGAGAGGGAAGGGCAGTACGCAATGAATTTTCGAAGTAATATCAAACTTCGATGGGTGGGTCGGTCATTTGATCCGCAGTGCGTCTGTTTCCGTTCAAAGATCCACACTGGATCTTCTCCACCTTCTTTCTTACATTAAGACTCCCCACAGTGGACCCCGGATGTTGGATAGGCGGAACGCCTAATTGCGCTTAAATTTCGTGACCATAATGGTAAGGTTGAAGCGTGACCGCGCTCTCTTCTGAGAAATCCGAAAAATCAAAACCTATTATTATTTATAATATTATTAGCAATAAATATGTTATAAATAATTTGTAGAAATATACAGTTTTTAATACAAATAATAAATACCTTCAGTAATTTCTGATTTAATAAAATTAAATTATAAAAAAATATATATATGTTTCATAGATGCCTTATTTATACCTGACTACCCAATAGAAAAAGTCTACAAGCATAATTTTTAATGTAGTTACAGGAAATTCTTCATAATTAATAATCTTTCTTATTAAAAAAAAATTTTTTCTTGTAAATTGAGCGTATACAAATTTCCTCGAAAAAAAGGATGAATCGTAAAGTGCGTATCTAGATGATGTAGCAAATCGTTTCTACCATCTTCACATAATAATTACACTCGGGACCTATTATAATTATCTACTCTCCGGTTTACGATACGAGATCCTCGCACGGCATATGGCCCAAAAAACGCCATCTTACTTCCAACCAACCACTTTTCTACCACAATGAAACTGGCCATTTGGCGGCACTTGGATACGAATCAAAATTAACTTTACTCGCGGGACAAATTAAATTTTCTTCCTCGTCGCTCGTGAAATCACGGCGCTTTATGGTTTGTTACAATATGGAATAATATGGAATTTAATATTAATTAGAATATAATATGTAAAATTTAATAACAATTACGAATAGCAAGCACATTTGAAAATTATAATTTATATTAAAATTTTAATTATAAATTATCTACGTTTTTTGGCATTTTGCATACATTGTGCAGGCATGATTATTCTCGGTTTAAAAAGGATAAAAGAATTGAAACTCAATTGTATAGAAAACTAATGGTTTTTCTTTTGTTCAGTATCGCTATTGTGTCATGTCATGGAAAACTGTTTTCAAGGAAAAAAAGTCAAAAATTCTTTCAAGAAATACCAGTTGTTTTCTATTTGAAATCGGTTCATCAATCACTATCATAGAAAAATCATTAGTCATTATGCTACAAAGAAACTTATTGCTAAGTGCTACATCAAGCGTTAGCTTGCATTTTCGTATTATTTAACTGTTTATTAATTCGTTGTTCATTCTATTTACCATTATTATTCACAGAGTCATTCGTCATTCAACTAAAATATTATTTGTTTCACAAAGTATATATTCTAATCCGAGCTAGGAAATATTCGTAGCGTCGCGACTTCTTCAACAAACTGGCCTACATTTCATGTAGGCTGAATAATTCGGTCAAGACTGAGACCTCGGGGCAGGCCATATGCTGAGAGACGACGACGTATAATTACGAGGGATGCTCTTCACGGTAACTCAGCAAGGGTGGGGACCCGAAAACCCGGGGAGCGCGCAGTGGAGGGACGCGCGGTTATATAAGGAAGTAGCCGAACCCCGAAGGACCGCAGTCGCACCGAAATTTCGTTCGTGGAACCCACGCCCGTGGCTCTCGTGTCCAGCCGGGCACGATCCGTGATCGATCAGATCGCGAAATATCTTGGAGTTTTAATCGAAAGAAAATAATAATAGTAATTTTGTGGTGAAAAAAGTGAGGAATATAAGGTTCTCTGTTATCGAAGATGAGGATGAAGATCGCATGGCTTCCGGCGCTGATATTCTGCGCGACCTTGGCCTTGGCGGCCGCCAAACTGGATTTCGGACCGTTTATCCAGATCGCGCAGTGCCGATCGATGTGCCTGCGACATCACATGATCGACGGCAACTGCTGGGAAATAAATAAAGATCCAATAAGTGACTGTCAAAAGGTAATTAAGAACGTCTTGCACCACGTCATCTTTTTCTAACAAATCAACTTGATACTCGAAACGAGAGTCGCGCACGACAGTCGCTTTTGGAAAAATTCCAAAGATAGTAAAACGCTTCTTATTTCTAATCAGCAACATGGAATAATTGTGCTGCTTCTAAAACCGAGATTAAAACTAAGAAACGTAAAAACAAATATTATACTTCCTGCATTCCAATATAACTTATCGACAAAATGGTTGAAAATAATTTACGATTTTATTATTCGTTCCAATATTAATATTTCTAATAAAAAATGTCGGAAAATTTTAATTCCAAGAATTTAAAAGGTATCCCAATAATTGCAAAAATTAGTTAAAAATAATCAATAACTAAACTTAATTTATTATCTGCCATGGAATGAAATTCGCAATGGAATAAATGTAAAGTTGTTAGTCTTTGACTTTTTTGAAGTTATACATAAAAAGTACGGTGTATATATCTTTATTTAACATTTTTCTATATTATAAAAACATTTTTATTTAAAAAAAAGAAATAAACAGAAAGTGTTTGTGCAACGTAATCTTGTGTGTATTCTACGTACGTGTGCGGCCCAAAAGTGGCACTGATCGCAACCGGAAATCGGATAGGGTGCCACTAAATCTTTGGGTGTCGATTTTATGAGGAGAGAGTGCCGTGGAAAATCACCAGGTGTGGTCGCCACCCCCTGAGCACATATGGATGAGAATCGCAGTTAGGGGGGACTTGGGGAACGTCCAACAACGCGCGCGCGAGGGCGTTGCTCATTTTATGTTAAAAGGGGTGTCCATTAATTTCGAGAGATCCATCGATTTCATGTCCCGCGAGACCGAGGGGGCCGAGCGTACAAATTTTTGTACGGGCCCCTGTGACGAACACGGGGGCGAGGGAGCATCTCGCATTAGAATAACGGCCTGCAGAGAGGCGGGAATAAACCCTTAACGAACACTATACAGTTGGTCACCTCCTCCTCTTTCTCGAGAAAAGAGAAAGACTCATGCAGCGATTGTGACATCGAAGGAAAGGGGAGAGATTTCTTCGCAACTTTTGATTCTTTTAATCCCGAGAGTAAAAGTTTCAAAGAAACAAAGTTCATTGAATCAAAATATTATTGATGTATTACAAAAGTTTGTACGTACGTGCTGATATAATGCAGAGTGTGGGGAAAAAATAATATTTTTTCAATGTATAGGATTCGTGTAGGTATTGATTCAAAATACATGAAGATGATATTTTCTGCTTAAAACAAATCCACGTCTCTTAAAATTTAATAAGTTATAATATTATAAATAATATCTAATAATTGTAATATTACTAAAAAATTAAAATTGAAAAAATAAATCTAATATAAAAAGTTTCTTAACAGTAATAATAATGAACACAAATGTGAAGATAATTATGCTTCTTTTCTAATATTTTTCTAATATATTATTAGAAAAAATATACATGAAGAATATATATTTTTTTTCTTTTTCTTTTTCTTTTCATTTCATTTTCTCCCATTCTTGGATCTTGCATTATTAAAAATCCCCATTTTTCTTTTGCAAATATTCTAAATGATTGCCGCTCTTTTCACCCATTTATTTCACGAGCCCACTGTCGAACAAACGAGTCACTGAGTTTCAGATTAAGATTAAGATGCCTCTTATTGTTTTATGATTTAAAGCAATAAACGTAACTTGATATTCTAGGCTAATTAATTATCAATCGATAGAGCACGCAAGATCGGCGGGCCTTATTTGGCTGAGAAAACTAATCGGTGTTAAAAATTTAGCAGTTCTGTAAAAAAATAGTAGATCGTGTAGTATATATATATTTTTTAAGCAGAAATGTAATGTGCATTAAGATGTAAAAGTATAATACTATATTAATGATATAAATGAAAACATACCCTTTGGGACCTGAATTTCTTTCGGGTTTTGAGCAAGGGAATATTTCGGCATGGTTTTCGGGAAACATCATTAGCGAGAAACCCACGGGGCCCTTCGTTTCTTCGAAGCGGAGAATCGGGCTTAGCAAGGGTACGCGACTAAGAAGGGTAATCGAGAATCGAAAGAGAGAGAAAAAACGGAGAGACAGAGATAGGCTATGAGAAAAAAAGAGGGAAAAAGAATTTAGGAACAGGGCGAGTCCACTCGAGAGTCGGTACCCCAATAAATATGAAGACAACGACAACGACGATGCCTGTTGTGCCCGGAACAGGTTGGAGCTAATTCAGTTCCCCTTTCTCTCCCCCTGACCCCCTTTTCCACCTTCCTCACGGTGTTTCGCCCTCTTCCTCCTCCCTCGCTTCTTCTTCTCTTCTTAAATCGCTCGATTCAACGTTTTTTATCCTGCCCTTCCCTCTGCATCAAATCCCCTCTCTTCTTTCTCCCTTTAGTAACTCCTCTTTCTTCTCGTGCATCCCATGCATGCCGTGAGAGATTTTTTATTTGCTGCTGTATCTCTCCCGTCTAGACTTCTCAATCTTTTGAAAAAATTAAAGAATTTGACAATTTAAGAATTTAAAACCTATAATAATTCAAATTTTATAAATTGAAAATTTGGAAATTTAAAAAAATGTTAATCTGAAAAAATCTGCTATCTTAAAATTGAATAAGATTTTCATTTAGATTTCTTTTTATAGTGTTGGGACACTTGTGAACATCTCGGTGTTTTGGAGAAAGAAGAATATCGAGAAGATATATGCACGACGCACAGTCAAGATGTAAGTAAACAAAAAGTTCTCAATCTATTTTTGGTTCATCGACTGTTATATATTTCAATGTCTATCTCATTTCAATCTTTTTTATTTAATTTTAATTTAGACGAATAATATATGACTGACGATTCAAGGTTTCGTTCCATTAAACTCGCTAACACCTGACATTCTACTTCTTACATGAGACAAAATGCCTATTACAACATTATTATTATACATATTTATATATGTACCTATATGTTTATTTATTATGCAGTATTTAATTATTTCATATATTTTATTTAATATGTCTATTTTCACACATACATATTTCGTCTATATTTATTTTACTCTTTCTCTTTCATTTATTTATTTTATATTCGTATTACTTGCATATTTTTATTTTACTCTTAATATTTTTATATATATCTAATAATTGTTATAATAAAAAATATGAAACGTAATATACACTCATAACGGCATCTCAAAGATTTTTCGCCATTCGTCTCCAGACTATCTTTTTTTTTAATCTCTTCGAAGCGGATTCGCGCGCCGTTTTAGATCGTCATCTTTGATCAGAGCTTCGTGTTTCTGATGCTTTTACGAGTACGCAGGTAACCTAGGTCGATCTGTCTAGCCCTTCATTACGCCTCGAGGCGAGGGGGCTAGTTCGTCCAAGCGCGAGGAAAATCTCGATTGTCGCTTGAAGATAACTTTCGATTCTACAGGAAAGAAAGGAAAGTCTCACACAATAAAGTCTAGTAGAGGACGAAATCCTTAAAACCGACTACCTGCTATTTTCCAGGGAGATCCAATCGCATGGAACTAGGACAAAAAACCGGGATATCTCAAATGTTTAGGGAAAAAAGCGATTTACTTTTTTTCTCTTTGTTAATTAATTTGTTATACGAGAAATTAAGATTTATGAAATGTTATTCAATCACAAAAAGTAGTCACAATAGGAAGAAAAATTTAATTAATATATCTGTAAAACCTTGTCTCAGACAATTTATGTAAATTGATATAAAAATGTATAAAATAAATACAATACATCCCTTATGCACTTTCTAAACATATGCCTTTCTTTTTCAGTGTCAAGGTTGTGAAACCGCGTGCACATTTTTTCAAACACGCGGGATGGAGGAAGAGAAATACGAACCGATCAAATTACCGGCTCCTGAAGAAAACGAAACTATCCACATGAACGACTATGACGTTGCTGTGTTAATGAACAAGAATTTGGAAGGAATGTGGGAAGAAGAAAATTATTACTACGCAAAACAGCAGCCTACAATGATACCGGGCGGCTGGGTCATTGTCGTCGCGGAGGACGGCGTGGTTAGACACTACAGGTATTTTGTCTTTTTTTAATGTAACCTTTATGCAGGTATTTTCACAAAAAAATATCAAGTAAATAACTTCCAGCAAAAATACAAAAAATCTAAAAATAAATACACTTGAGACAAAGTTGGGGACTTTAATGTAAAGGGTCTGATATAGTTCACGGTATAAAATGAGAAACAATATACAAACATATAAACTCGTTTATTTTGATTACATTTGAAACATTTATATTGCTTACGATAAGTTTGTTTCAATGAAATGTAAATATTATAACCAAAATAATAATTTTTTCAAAAATTGATTTTTTAAACAAAATAGCTAAACTTTCTTTCTCTTATTCATTTTTGTCATTAATAAAATCATTATTATTATTATAGTTGGGAAAAATGGAGGCCAAAACTGGAAACGCTCAAAGCCTACGGTCCTCTCTATCAGGCCTATATTACGTGGCACGACTGGCGAACTCAATTAAATAATCAACGCGAAAGAATTTCCTCAAATTATTTTAAAACTATCTTTGAGCGCTGGGCCAAGAAGGAGAAGCATTACAAATCGTTCTTCGTCGTTACCTGGCAACAAGAGACGGGAGACGGTGTTATGGGCAACCAGGTAATTAAACATTTTGCAAGTGGATTCAAATCTGAGCTAACAATAAGTCGTTTCGATCTCTTTATGTCTATTAAGAAACAATACTTGCAAGTAAGTTTAAATTTCTCAAAATTACTTAAGAAACAAAAATGATACTATCAAGTAAAATTGAATACACTTATATGACGATAATCTTTCATACTTTTTACTTTTATATGATGTATATTTCAAATTTTTAGTGAGACTGTGGCATTTTTTGAGTGGCACTTGAATCTTAGGGATCACAACTTCATTAGAATTCTAAATTTAAAAAAATGGAAAACAAATAGTAGAGTGAAAAAGTAGTTAATGATATTATTTTAGAGTAATATTTAAAAAATCATAGATTGATATAAAATTTATAGTAATAGTAAAATTTATAAAAAAAAAAAGAAAAATTCTATCTCTTTCTAATAACAAATTAATTAATGAATTTTCAAATATCGCCATACATTCTTAAAAAGTTTGTTTAAATCAAGTTGTGAGAATATGACAAATGAAATTGTACTTTTATAAATAATGCCCGAAATTCATTAAATAAAAATCAAATGGTTAAAATAATTCAAATTCCTGCATGCATATTAAATTTGATTCTATTCTTACAGGTAACAGATAGCGAATCGGCACAGATTTCTTTGCCATGCGGTAAATATTTGGTTAGAATAGCCACCGATGACGGTCCCGGTAGCTACCCGATCATCATCGACACTGGAGTCTGCGGAACCCTGAAAGTACCAGTCTGGAACCTAAAATACTTTTTAGACGACCCAGCAGTCGTGGGGTTCATGGGAATCGTCTCGGCAAGCCTTTTGGGAATCCTCTACTTTAGACTTCGATATTTAGCTAAAAAGTATCGAATAAAGATTGCAAAATGGAACGAGATAGAAAAAGAGAGCAAGATAGAGGAGGGGCACTTAACGGAGACGGAGAAGAGGCTGATGAAGGAGAGAAACCTGACAAAGATGCAGAAGAAACTGATGAATCAGGGTGTGCTGAGATTGTGTTCTAATTACAGTCATCCCCCAGTCCAGCTATTGCGAGTCAAGGAAACGGACATTAATGTTAACGCAAGTGTAAAAGTGCAAGACGCGAGTGCGAGCACGCAAGGTGCGAACGCAAATGTGATTCAGGAAACTTAGGTACTCCTCTAGAAAAGTTGGAGCTGGAACTTTTTCTTCTTGCTTAACTTAGCGAGAACAACTCAGGGACTTTATTTGCTCTCATAAGAGCGTGGTCTTCCGCTCTTCCGCTTTCAACAGTGTGCAGGATGAAAGGTACATAAATCAGGTATCTGGCGTTTCTCTGTCACAAAGGCAAACGAATTATCTCGATATTTGCGCACACCATGTATCTATATTACATCATATTTATCAAAAATTTAACACAAACAAAGACACGATATAAGGCAAATGAGAGCTATACTCTGATATTAAAACAAGAAATTTAAAATTTGTTTAATAAATTTTAAATTTTTTGTGTATTTCCAAGTACACGAATTTCCAACATACTAAATCGCGCGCCGATTTTTTGTCGTACTGAAAACAGTTTTCGTTGGAGCATTAGAATCCCTTATCCCCCCCCCCTAACGATTAAATCATTTGATGCTAATTTTAAGCATCTAAATTGATATAAAGAATTTATTGCAAAAAATATTACCTCGGCCAGGGTTTGAACCTGGAACCTCCCGTATAAGACTACCATCCCCAGTGGGAACCACCCATGGCACTTACTATTGCTGTGAGATCTTCGAAAGCCGATAAACAAACTATCACTATTACTATTAATAGTTTATTATATTATATTTATAGAATATTTAAATGGTACAAGGAAACTGCTTTTTCATTTAATCCCCACTGCAATATGCATAGAAGTAGTGTGACACGAATACAAAGCGGTGGCAAAGTTTAAACGGAATCAAAGCAGTATAGTACTGCGACTGAGGATGATCGAGATTAAATACAATTGTGATCTTAAAATTAGCATGATCAAATGATTTAATCGTTAGGGGGGGGATAAGAGATTCTAATGCTCCAACAAAAACTATGTTTCCAGTCTGACAAAAAATTGGCGCGCGGTTTAGTATGTTGGAAATTAGCTCTCATTTGCCTTATATCGTGTCTTTGTTTGAGTTTCTGGAGAGCTTGTTTCTTGCAAAAATTTAACGATAAAGATTTTATAGCAGTTGTTTACCTCACAGCAATAGCCAACAGATAAATATAATAGAATTTATGATTCATTCGAAAATCTTAAGTTAAAATTATTTTGTAGAGTAAAATAACTTGTAAATATAGGCAAATAATTATATCTAATATGCAGTGAGTAAAAAAATAATTTGCACGTACATCTTTTTTAATTGTACCTTCAAGTAACAGTTTTCTCTTTAGGCAAAATTGTCATTAAAAAGAGATCAAATGTGCAAATGCATATATTATGTTGTGAGATGTATCGAGCATTATTGGTACATGTGCTATTGAATTGTCTAACAGTATTTTTGTAAATATTCTATTATAAGTAACTACACATGTGTACGAATAAGGCAAAGAATGTGGGAAGATAAAATGTACAAATGAGAGCTTAGTAATTATAAGGCATACGAACAGTGAATAAGAAAGTAGCGATTAGTTGAAGTTTTACAGACTCTTGGATATATATTTTTTTTTACGTAATGGAGTACATAAACACACGTTGTTCTAGCTCAATGCAATGCAACGAATAGACTGAATTCTAAGAGTTCCTATCGCCGAAAATTGACAAGCAGCGTCGAACTCCAAATATTTATTTGTAAATAGCTGCAGTCTTGTACAATACTTGTATTATATAATTCATAGCAAAATAAATAAATGTCAAGACCAAAAATTCTCACATTTTATGTTATATATTTCTTTACACACACGTAACATTAATATTACTTTATAATACTGTATACATTTTCTATTCTGTTTTTTCTTTTTACGTAAAAAATCCGATTTTTTTTTAATATAAAAATCTCGAAATAAAACATTTTCGAAGTTATCATTTAAAACTGTAAGCATCCTTTATTGTCTACCAAAAAAAAACACTGTTATACGTGTATTATATCAGGAATTTCTTTCACGCATTAAATATTTTATTAAATATTGTATCGTATATACAATATTATGTTTTCTAATTTTTCTTAAATTTTTAATAAACGTACGTCTTAATTTTTTATTTTTTATTTAAATTTGTTTCGTCAGAAAGTTCGAGAGTCGAGAATCCTTTATCGGAAGAAAAGAACCGAACAAAAAAGTTCTTGCAACTTCTTGTAGCTCCTGGCTCTAAGGAATATTTTAATCCCCTTCGATTTTCGGAATAACTTTTTTCAAAGAAGACCCTTTCCCTCTACCTTCTTCAGCCTCGCTTCTCGTCCGCAAAGTGCGTTGAACTCGAGTGACGTACTCGCGATGAGTCGACTAAAAAGTCAGAGCTGTACCAGGCGAACGTACGTGCACGCACATGCACACACGCATGGTGAAAAGTATGCCGTGACCTCGAACAAGGTCCCGTTATCCTAGGCTTCGCCTTGAACGTCTTCGTCCTCCCAGTCTTGACTCGGAAGTCAAGTCAAGATGATGATACTACTGCTCTTCGCCACCTTCCTGGTCAACTTTCCTCATCAACTCGCACAATCAGACGCGAACAATGGATTAATCAGGATTGCGGCGTTAGGGGCCTCCGTGCTGCCCATTGGACTCGCCGCCGGCCCCAGGTACGTAGATTACGATCGTAGTGCTCAGAAGTAGTTCATTCGAAGATAGCGAGTAATCCTAAATAATTTTTTATGTGTAGATATATATATATGTATATTAGATCAATTTTTATTTTATAATTATTTCAAGTTTAAATTTTATAATCATAATTGTAATTTTGAGTACTAAAAAAATTAATTTGTCTGTACTATAAATTATAATATGTAGTTTACAAACTACAAAATTATCTTTTATGAGAATATACTTAAAAAAACTTTCTTAGTTCTATGATTTATTGTAGATTTTTTTTCTTTATTACAGAATTATCACATATTTATTATCTATGAAATTATAATTATTATATTATAAATTTGAAATTTCTATAAATAATACTTCTTTATTATTATCAAAAACTTTGGAAAAATTTCACTATTGGAAAAATTTCCATCTTGTTTTAATAAGAAAATGTAATTTTTTTTTTATTTTCTCAATAAACTACTTAATCAATCATAATCTTACCTGACCTTACCGTATTACTATCGATTAGAAAAGATATAAATGATCATAATCGCGATTAAAATAGCACACTGGGCTTTAATAAATCCTAACCGTGTCAATGTCATTCTAACTAATCGAGTTTCTTATCTTCAAGAATCCATCAACCGTAAGTGATTTTTAATTCAGATTATCATATAAGTAGACGGTAATCTTTTCTGTGAGTTAATCACTTTACACATTCTTAAACCATTCTCGGACGTCGTTTTCCTTGGCACGATAGTGATTGAATTTTTCTTTTCGCGCGAGAAAACGTATTTCTCGGATTATTAATAAGCGTTTGTCTGATTTATTAAAACGCGAAGAATCGCGCTGCAAAGAAACATTTGCGATGACATTTCGCAACTTTTGCATATTGATAGATATCGATAGGTATTTGTGTCACTGTTTCCTGATTGGCGAGAATATGAGACCTTGTTATATTAAGTTATGAACTGTTATAGGTATTAGTTTTAGCACTTTATCAAATTTAATCATTCAGGTACGTTCCAAAATGGAAAAAGCAAGCGTGCGAAATACCAGCATCCCAACATCCGAATTCGCACTATATTTGCGACGAAGCTGGTGAAGTGAAATGCTTGCCAGGTATAAAGAATAATTTATTAAATTAAATCGAATAAATTTCTACAGCTAAATTAAAATAAATTAAATTAATTTATAAGGTCAAAAATTAATTCATAGCAGAATACCTTTTAATTAAAAGAGCTATGTAAAAAATAAAAAATAATTAAAATTTTTATTATTTTTGTCTAATACAAATTATAAGACATTGTTCGTAATAAAACATTGTTTAGGATGGACCGGAGATCTTTGTGATGTACCGATTTGCCGCAAGGGTTGTGATCCCCTCCAAGGCTACTGTCGGCGACCAGGAGAATGTCGTTGTAAGCTAGGTTTCTACGGCGAACTGTGCGATAAATGCGTGGCTTTACCGGGATGTCAGCATGGAAGGTACGAGTATTTAATTTAATACGCAATAAAGAGAAAGTACGCTTTAAAATGTATACTAACTTCTTATATCTCTTAAAACTTTACATTAACATAAAAACTCTTGAAAAAAAATGTGAACTACATTTCAGCACAAAATATTATACATATTTCCTTTCATTGTAATCAAGTTGATTAAATATATTATGTGATATTGATTTATTACTGAATTTATATTTAATTATATTATTTATACAAATTAAATTGGTTATATTAAAATAATGTTAATTAAATGTATAATAGCTACATTTAATTTTAGTATGTAATTTAATTAATTAATCTAATTATTTTACGGCTTTCTTATTATACATAATAAATCATTTATTTTTATCATTAAAGTTTTTATTCTTTTCTGTTTTTTTTTTACAAATTCAGCTGTTTAATTTTATAAAATCAAATTGGATAAGATTTAGATTTACTACTTTTACTTAAAAAAAAAAATATATATGTTCAGATTTTGCATAGGCATTTCTGTTCTACATGCGCTGAGCGCGAAAATCAAATATCATCCATATCCGTGTTGGAGAAGATTAAACTCTCCAATTAATCTTTCATCGATCTCTTACTATGTTCGATAATTCCACAACAATTATACTAAGTAACAACGTAGCACCCACGCGGCTATAAATGCGGCACGATTTATCGTGCCGCACACGTAACGATATAAATTGAACGTCGCTTGAATAACAACAGCCCGTATCGGCTTCGCTTTGCTTTCACCTTGAGTGAGCGAACGAGCTAATTTCCGTGTAACACGAAACGCTTCCTCGCTTGGAGCAGTCTTTCGTGACCATCGATCGATTCTGTTCGATAGACAGGCAGGGACTTGACGTAGAGATTTTCACTTTCAGGTGTAACGTAAGCTTCGAGTGCTCCTGCGATCCCGGTTGGAAAGGCATGTTCTGCTCCGAGCCCGTTTGTGCGCCCGACTGCCTCTCCAGTCAGGGATACTGCGAGAGACCCGGCGAATGCAGGTGATTAATCTTGCACCTTCTTACACGTGCATGCTCTACATTTTGCAAAGATTTTCGGCAAGATTTTACATACTATTAACATCAAAATATTAGACTTATCAAAAACAGATTTTGTGAATTATAATTCTAATAGCTTCAAATTTAAAGAATATTCTTTTAGTTGAATAGAGAAGATGTCATCTTTGGTCGGGCTGGATCTTGGTGGTCTAATGAGACACACACATGTGATAATATTTATCGCAATGAGATTCATATCAGTCCAATTTCACTTATTATTGTTTATTTATGTCGCTTGAAACAAAATGTTCTCCTTTATATTTACCAGTTATTGCGATAAATATTATTACATGCCTCAGTAATCAAATTGGTAAAGACGCCCGTTACAAATCGGAGGGAGGTCCAGGTTCGAACCCCCTGGCTGGAGTAATATTTTTCGCAAAAAATTCTTTACCGATTTAAAAATGTAATTTAAAAATGTAGATTTACTCTTCCAACGGAGAGTTGCGTTTCAAGATCGACAAATAATCGGTTTGCTGAGTTGAAAAAAGTATACAAAATTCACACAGAAATATTATTATTATTATTATTATTATTATTATTATCAAGATCTAGCCCGATCAAAAATGGCATCTCCTCTATTTAATTAAAAGTAAAATATATCTTTATAAATTTGAAGATACAGAGTTATAATATTAAACATAACTAAAAAAACTTGATGCAATAAAACGTAATTGCCAGGATTTTTTTATCGGCACAGATGTGTCGGAAAGAGAGAAATCAGAGTCTAACGTATTCCTCCTTTCAGATGCCGTTTAGGTTGGCAAGGTCCCAAGTGCAAACAGTGCGCGGTTTTACCAGGTTGCGCCCATGGGACCTGTCAAGGGCCCCTCGAGTGTCGATGTGATCCGGGTTGGACCGGACTGCTTTGTCAAACACGTGAGTTTATTCCCGAGAGCAAACAGAAGAGAGACTCTCTTCTCAGAATAAACGAAACCGTGACTATCACCGAGAATCATCTTAGTTTTCTTCTATTCGGATAGTAGAGAGTGAGAAGGATGGAATCATTCCTCAACATATACACAAGATCCTTCGTTAACCGACGTTGACAACGTAATAAAAAATATATATACATTGAGATGCGCGAGACTTGTCCAAAAAATAAAAATAGTCTTGAATCACGTACGTGTTTGCTGATCAACAATCTTTTCTCGGGATCCCTAGAGAAATATTGTTCTCTCTTTTAAAAATTTCTCGGCCAAAATAGACGGATAAGTGTTACATTTATTTTCTTATTTTTGTGGATTTTATGAAATTAAAATCCAATATTTTTTTAAAGAAACTAATATTAAAATAAAATTATTTAAGAATTATTCTTAAGAAAACTTTCAATCTATTGTAAATAATATGTTTTAAAACTAAGTTAATTGCAAAATTTAAAATAGTAATATAACAATTACATAAAAATTGAAGTTAACAATTTTCCATTATATATAGTTAGGTACTGCCAAATCTCTAATTTATAAAACACTCGAATTTAAAACACTATTAATTTATTCTCTTTAACATTAAAAAATTGGATTTAAATTGATAATTAAATAATTAATATAGGAGATAAATGCTATACAAAAAATTATTTCCTCTTCTAAAAAGGAGATGTAAAGTTTATTGTTGTCGCTTTTCCGCGATGCCGATTGGTTCTCTTGCTGCGCTTACTTCATTTGCAGCTGTCATTGTATTTAATAATGTAATAGTAATGGCATAATGTTAAAGCTAAATAGCGCGCGCGAAGCGCGCGTCTGTAGTGTCTAGTTTTATTTAAAAAAAAGATTAAATTATTTAAATATATTTTCCAATCACTACATTAATGTTATAATTCTAATATCAAAAATGAATAATATTCTAATATAATAGATTAATAAATTAATATTAATAGTACGATAATATAGTGATCAAATGCCGTGTTTATTAGCGATCTGCGCGCAAGGATGCAGCCGGGAACGCGGAAGCTGCAGACGACCAGGCACATGCAGATGTCGCGTCGGCTGGACAGGACCCAATTGCACGGAATGTGTACCGTATCCAGGATGCGTACATGGATCGTGTAAACGACCATGGGAGTGTCGATGCGAGCCAGGCTGGGCCGGCGATCTATGCAACGAAAAGCTCACCTATTGTGATGAACATCCCGACGTTTGTCGAAATAACGCTACTTGCATCAGCATGACACATGAGGATGGCGATTATAGGTAAGATAAAGCAAAATTCGATCTTATCTTATTGTTAGTTGCAATTAAAACGATATAAGTAGTAATTGCAACCTGTAGACTTTATACGTTCAATATGTGACATAACTTTCCTTTAGCAAATGTTATTAAATAGAATAATATAGCAAATGTAATAGTAATCTTTTATTACATTTATAATTAAATTATAAAGACATCTTAATAAAATTTAATATAATTATAATGTAATAAAAGATTACTATGGAATTATTTACATTTGCTAAAGGACAGTTATGTCACATTGAACGTAAGTCTACAGGTTGCAATTACTACTCATATCGCTTTACGTATATCGTATACTAAAACCTAATCACATATATTGATCTTTATAGAAAGAACTTAGATACTCTATCGATTTTTCAGATTTCTGAACTTGTAATAAAATACACTTACATAAACAATTTACTCGTTTTCTTGCAATATTTAATTTTAACGTAGTTATGATACCTGTATTTATGATATCTGTTTATAATATCTCTTTAGAAATATTAGAAGAGATTTTCCGTTCGCTTTTCTTGCAGATGCGTTTGTCCCTTGGGCTACATGGGCCGACAATGTCAGATAAAAACTATGGTACCAACGATGGAATTGATACCGCCAATGCCCGATGCCACCATGGAATTATCACAAGACGTTCAAAGCCTCGCGGACAAGCCAAGTATCGAAGAAACCTCGAATGAGAATAAGCATGAAGAAGAACCTCCAAAGACGGAAGAACAGACCGTGGAACCTCTTGGACGTATCATAATTACGGATCCACCAACCACGACTATCATCGTAGAGCCAAGCGCGACTGCAGGGAAATGGCCGATGGAAGAGGCAACGACTGAAAGGGACGACGAGAACGAGACGTAAAACTGGATAACCGGAATGTTTATTTATTTATTTCGTTATTTATTTGTTTATTTATTTAAAGCTGTGTTCGATCAAGTTATCCGATAGAAAATACTCCTTTAAAAAAAAATCGATTCCTGTTTTTACAAATTATTCTATTGTATAACTGTGTTAAAAATGTAAATTGTGCTTAAAAAATTGTTATTTTATAACACTAATTGATCAATTTTATCAATTTATTTTATCAATCTAACGATTAACGTACAATTATAAACCATGTATATTTGTATATGCATATCTACACTATATTATTATGTGTTTGGAAGTATCTATTGGAATTTGATTAAGGATTTTACTCATCTAGCCTTTTTTACTATCTTTTCTTTCATTACTATTTTTTTACTCTTATTTTTTACTTTTATTGTTATTAATATATTAAATAAATCGGGATATAACTGGAATGTCTTGCAATTATTTTCTTTTCGTGAATTTACAAAAACTTATAAAATAAAAACCCGCGCTTTAAACAGAAGAATATTTTTCGTTCTATCGAATTTCTCTCCTCCCCCCTCTCTCTCTCTCTCTCTCTCTCTCTCTTTTCACCATTGTGTGGGCGAGAGATCCTGGATTTCGCGACCTAAACTGGCGGAACAGGGATTTTCGAGAAAGCTGCCTGACTATCTCTGGAGAGTGGAGCCAATTATTGCTATGTCCAGTAGATATATAGTAAATATATATAGGATGTAAAAGGTAAGATACTTGAAGTATATTCTACGAATGAGAAGAACAAAGAGAGAGAGAGAGAGAGAGAGAGAGAGAGAAAGAGAAAGAGAGAAAGACACAGGCCCGCGCTTGGGTATACATAAACCGCTCTCGAAGTCACGCTTCAGTGATCACACATTCGATTCGATCCCTCGATTGTGCGTGTACATGTGCCGTTTTCACAGATATACCGCTGCGATCGGCTTCCCACATAATCGAGCGCAGGCAGGAGAGTTACATGCATCGCTTACGTAATGTCGTAACGTCGACTGCATTTCGCCCTCCATTTCGCCGGATAAAGGGACGCCAGTAGAATACGTGAGAAATCGATATTGCGACGTATTTGCTGTTGCTTTCAGAAGAAGAATGTCTATCATCTGTCGTTTAATTTTTCATCTTTACGTTGTAATTTTCTTATTGTTTAATTGTATATTATAATTGTTTATATATCATAAAATTAAATAAAGAATAGTTGTTCGCAGTTAAAATTTTAAAATGTTAATTAAATGTTAATATTTCAATGAGTTATTTAATGAGTAAATGTATAAAGAATTTCACGAGTCTCTATTTTCCTTTCTTTCTTGTATTTTTCAGTGATATTTAATTAAGTGGTTATAACATAATGTATAACAAATAAAGATTATGAGGTTTACATTTATTATACGTTTAATTGGCGATTGCGTTGCATCACGTTATACAAGGTAACCCCGCAAATCAGCTTTCGTCTATATGAATTCCTGGATTAATTTGAAATCGATTTCTCTTCAATAAAATATCAAAGAAAATTATTATTTCTTAGAAGTTATCAACTTTTTAAATAAACTGAATATCTTCTTAAATAAATGGTTTCACATAAACTAAATAGATTTAACTACTTTAACTATATAAATATAGTAAATTTTCTCGAAATTATATATATATAAACTTTTTGTCTTAGCAAACATTCAAAATTGAACTTTTTACTAACATTTACTATCTGCCTTCATCTTTAAAGTTTATAGCTTCTTTGAAAAGAAGAAGCTCTCTGTCTTCGATAGTTTATAACTTAGAAATTATCGATTTACCAATGATACGAGACAATGTCTTTATTAACAAAAAGTCCAATTTTTTTAAATTAGTTGTAGATAAGATGAAAATCGATAGAACACCCTGTATATCGACGTATTAGTACGAAGCGTATTCGATCCACTCTCCTTTATGATATATGATAGATCTACTTGCCTCCAGGTATCGATTAGACATACCGATTCCGCATCTTTTGTTGCATATTTTAGCGATAAAACTGATACCGCGATAAAATAACTTTCTACACCGTTGCCACACACACACACACACACACACACATATATATATATATATACACTGAGAAAAATACTTTTTTAATTATTAATATACCATGAGTTTAGACTTGATATCTTTGTCAGAAATATACAAATGTCAATGTAAATTCGTAATATTTAATAATAATATACGTAACTGTATAGTAAAAATACCATCAATTTATATGAAATTGTATGTATATATTAAATGTAATGTCTTTGTAATTAACAAATTTATATTAATTATTAATATAAGTATAATCATTAATCAATCAATAATCTCAAATAAATTATTTCATTTGTCGAAATTGATAAAATATTTTACGCAAGCATACATTTATTTATGACAAAGAAAGTAATATTATTAAGTAATATTATATTATAAGTAATATTATTTTTATACTGAGATAAATGTAGTATATTCAGTGACACGCAATATAGCATATATTAATTATGAAGAAATATTTATTAGGGACGGACATAAAAAATTCTTACATTAACGACAAAGCATGTATATTAACTATTAATATACTGTTCTCTCAGTGTATATATAATGCAACAGCATGTTGCTGTTTTCATTCTAGTTACTCGCGGAATGTGGTTCCGTGCTTTTTTCATGACTTCCAATCCGCATTCGTCACTTATTACTCGCCCGAATCACTGGAAATGCTGAAGCTATTTTGAAGCTTTAATAAACCATCACTGCACATTTTCGCTCCTCCTAATACAAAATTAAATGAATTTGGATTAATTTCGTCGCACGATTATTTCTTTCTCAAGTTTTAGTAGATAATTTGGTATATTAACCAGAAAAAAAATAATAATATGCGTAGAACAGCAATACGATAAAATAATTGCATACTTATTTATTTTACAGGCAGGATTGTAAAAACGATTGCTTTTTACGAAACGAGGCTAATCGTGGCGCTTGACATGACGGGACAAAGGACAACAATCTGTCACAACAGATATAATTGGCACGCGAGACTCTCCTCGCCTTGTAAAAGTCTTGAACGCTGAATGAATGCGGCCGCTTTATTACCATCTTAACTCACGTAGGGTATCGTAAAAGTCGCTACCGAGTGAAAAAACGCCGACGTTAAACGCCCTAACGCTGTTTGCGGCGTGTTTTGTTAAAGTCATCATATCGTTTAGATCGACATTATCATCAGTTATCCTCGCAAGCTAAGAAATAAACATGTAAACTAGAAATGAGTGATACATTAAATTCAATGACGTATCAGAATTCCTCTCCTCCACCAATAAATTTTTAATTTTATTCAATATTAATATTTTAATATTTTAATATTTTCATATTAATATTTTAATATTTTAATACAATAAAATGATAACACTAGCTTTTCCTAAATTTTCTTTATTTCAATAATTCGTAATTTTCTTTTAATTGTACATCCTAATTTAACGATGTATAAACGAATAACGGCTGCATAGTATAAATATATATCATTTGAAGAAATACTTCCCTAATTATACTTGTGCTACAATCATAATTGTTGCGCCATAACTGGCACGTGGTGCATAATAAAGAAATAACTATCTTAAAGTGCATATAGCGTTAACGTTTATTCGCTATATTCGTCACGCAGTTAAATCTGTGCGTGTACTGACAAAATAACGAGATAGCCGGGAAATATAGTAGAGTAATACATAACCATTACCCTCGTAATATAGCATGTCTGAGAATGCCGCGCCTAAAAAATTCCTCGATTTCTTACTCTTAATAACCGCGAAATATCGTCGAAAAACAAAAGGCATTGAGAACGTGAAAGCCGCACTTTTCCAAAGTTGCTCACGTCTTATAATTAATTAATCTCTGTCTTATATCAGTAACTTGAAGATCGAATTACGCTTCGTTGAGTTTTCACATATTTTTCATCTCATTTCTCATATAAATAAAAAATTCATATATATACGAGTGCAAAATAAACATTATTTTTCATTATTTTGCATACTTATTTAAAAAAAAAAATAAAATAAAAATGACATTTCTAATTACTTCCTGTTATTAAATTTATATTAAAACTGCGCGTTCTGAGATTTTCTATAAGATTAATGAAAGGTGTTAAACTACCCTTAAGTCATTAGTTACACGTGGGAACAAGATCGAAAGGAAAAAAAAGACGCACGAGTGCATCGAGTAAATCGATGACGCGAGCGGTCGGCTGCTTCTAGAGCGAAACGACCCAGATTCTACCGTATGTGCGTTTAATGCGCGTTTAATAAGATTGGTATTACATCAGAAAGAGCAATATATACTCGCATGTATATTTACCATCGCTAAGGTATGTATATTTACCACTGAGAGCAATTTTTAAGGCTCATCCACAAACTGATGGGCATTCAAGACATCCAAAGAATTATATATCTCTAAACTTTAAAGGGTTTAAAATGCCTAATAATCAGGTTTACAAATATACAAAACTATAATAGATAAAATGCTAAGTAATCCTTCAAAAGCAATTTTTATATATAATTCTATTATTTAACGTTAAATAGATAATATAGATGTTTTTTAAATTAACTTATTTTTCAGACACTATTATTATATTGGCTATTGTGTTTGTAGTAGTTAACAGATAAAATATTGGTGGATAAACTCATCAAATAATTCTTCAACGGTTTATTTTGTTTTTTTCCAATTCTATATAATCGGATTCATATTATAATCCGCCTATAATCCGATTTATCTATGAGGTAAGCAGAAAAGAGGAAGTAAATTAATAATGTATTAAATAGCGCAAATCAATATTGCTGCGTCTGTCTTATTTTCTTATCCGAATTAAATGACTCAAATTAAAAATTAAAATTAAACTACTTTCAATATTTTCTTCATTATTTCTGGCTCTTTTACTCGCTCTTTTATTATTTCCACATTCTTCGCAATAAAACATCGATATTCCTTGCGGTATTATGGATACCGCAGTAGAATGCACGGTTAAAAGGAAAATCGATCCTAACCCCCTGCGCTACAATATTCGATTTTCATTATGACAATCGCTCAGA